TTTTTATTTCTTCTTTCTATCCAACGATTTATACTGCACGTTACCTGTTAGCGATCCCTGTTTTGGCCTTTAGCGGTCGATAATCGAAGATAGATACTCCAGTTGTTTCAGAACCGGTACCGGAGGTTGTTGGAACGGCGATAAGTGGTTTCAGAGGTACTCGGATTGGTTTACCTTTTCCAATCGGTGCGTTTACGTAATCCAAAAATTCGGCATTTGGATCGCAACTATATAGATTTGCCGCTTTACAAGTATCCATTACGGAACCACCACCAACCTGCGAATTAGCAATAAAAAAAATAATATATAATTATATAATAATAATAATAATATATTTTATTAATTATTACATATAATAGAAATAAAGATTTATTTAATGATATATTGTAATATAACATATAATTGATACAAAAAGAGAATATAATTTAATTTATATACACTGAAAAGGAAATACAGTTAATTTTAATAAATATTTAGTTGGCAATATTCAACTAAATATTTATCAAAATTGACTATATTTTTTTCAGTGTAGGTAGTATATTTTACAAAAAACGAGATAGTATTAACGTTCTTTCTTCTATCGCGTTTCTTGCACGTACCGCTACAAAAGCGTCAAAATTTTCACGCTTGGCAAACTTGATCGAATCTTGTAAACTTTGTTCAGTTGGTTCCACTCGTACTTGATCGTAAATCTCGAATTGAATCCCATATTTGGAAAGACTGTCAATAGCAGTCTTTACAGGAGCTAAGTTCATCAAATTAGGATCAGTCATTAGACACGTTTTCTTTGCTCCTAAATTTTGTATATCCATTCCTAATTCTCTTGTTACTCCTACTCCATATCGCACCGTAGAACAGGCCATCTAAAATTTCACGTAATTTTTAAGAATTAACATTATACATAAATTACGACATTATCACATTTTAATTGTCAAATGTTTCAGTGATATAAAGGAAAGATAAATTACTGAATTCAAGAATTATGTTTAAAAATTTTTGGTTTCATATTTGTGAGATACGTTGTTTTTTGTATAATCAGTCGAATTTAACTTTTAAAATAGAGGATGAGGGGGGGGGCAGAGAGAGGGAGAAAGAGAGATATCTTACTCTATCTATACTAATAATCTTTAAATAATAATCTCTAATTTTACGAAATAGTTTTAAAATCTGTTGTTGCACCTATGATATATCTAGATTATTAAATGTGGCATTGAATATGCTGTAAACACGTTATCTTAACTGAATTTACAATGTATGTGATAGATTTTTTTATTTCATAATCGCGGAGTCTGCGATAAAATCAATATATTTACCATATGTTTTTAAGGAGAATTCTTATAAATAATTTCCTTGTCTTTACAAATTTTATCTATACATATTTTACCTCGAAAGCATATTCCTTATCGGTCGTATTTGCTGCAGTGCTTCGTGTTTTTCCATGATCCCATACGCTAGTCGCTCCTGGATTTCCGTGCGCTGGACATCTGCATCTAAAAATCCAGAACAGTTTAATTTTCACGGTCAATATACTTCTATTCTTTCATTCAAATAAACCTATCGAAAAACGTCATCGAACTAATTTGCGCTACTTTATTTTATTTTGTGATAGATTGTCATTGATGTTACATCACTGATGTTTTCATTCTCATATTTCTTACGTTTCTTATATAATATTTTTACAAAATACAGATGAAAATTATTTCCACTGCTTTAATAACATAAAGCAGGATTCTAAATGTACTTGTGTTTACTTATATCTTTTTAAGAAGGAAGGTAAATAAAAGTATAACGAAGATGATCTTTTGATGTAAGTATTGTTGCGAGAACTAATTTTAATTGTAAAAACTCAAATATTCTTTCTGTAGCAATTATTATATATTTAATTTTAAATAATATTTATTTGTTATTAATTATAGCATGATTACTTAGTTCTCTTTATTTTGATTTAAAAACATAATGTATATTTTTGCATAAAATTTATCATATTAATTGATCTACGATAGAGACCGTAATCAAAATACTTAGCGATTTATTTGATTACATTGCTATATTAATTTTTTCCAAATAAAAATTATACTGTAGTTTACTTACGACTGGGATGAAATGACTTGCAGAAGTTCAATAACGCGTCGCCTCGGCAACATTTTAAATACTTGTTAGGAGTGATTGTCTAAAAAAATGGCAAAACAGCGGTGGTAGAAACAAAATTTAACAGGTCTTTTGAAAATATTATGGAGTGACGTTCTCGACAAACTCTCGTTCTATACTCTTGTCTTGGTATCACGATCAGTTCATATTCCCCTTCCTTCCACTGAGGCTGTTTACCAGTTAAGCTTTTGATGAGGTGGCTCTGTTATCCATGTGTTCGTATTCATATATGAACAGGGCTGTACCAATACGTGTATTAATAGTTACGTTTTGTAGTGTTACTTTCTATCATTCAATTTAAGAGATCATTTCCGAAATTTCGATGTTTAAAGCAAAAATTTAAATTAAATTAAATTTATATATTGAATTTATATATTGAAATGATTGCAAAAAGAATGTTACAAAAGAAATAAATATTAAAAATTAAGAATTTGTTATCTATGTGATTTATGAGAAGATGAATATAAAGCTTTATTTGTGTGTTACATTTCCATGAATGATTATATTCAATCAAAATTTTATATAAAGATCTAAGCTTTTAAAATAAATATTTCAAAAATGTTTCACAGCTTAGAATTTTTAGAATTTATTTAAATAAATTTTTAAAGATACAAATTTATTTATTAAAATTTGTGTAGCTCTATTGATAATTGAAACTTTAACGAAAACTTTATTGACTGAATAATAACAATAAAATTTAATAAATTTTATAAATTAATAATTTTGAAGTTATATACAATAATAGATTACAATAATAGATTAGAGAATTTTTCCTATAAAAATAACTAGTAAATGTTTAATCTAATTTTTTAAATTATAACTTTACTTAAAACAAGATACAGTAATGTCTCGGCTTCAAGACAATATAATTTACATTAAATATGACGTATTTTTTACATAATACTATGAAATCTTACAGTTTTTTATTAATAGAATTTTTCAATAATTAGTTCTGGAATACCTTGAATAAATAGTATAGTGCAAAAATTAATGCGGTATGTCAGACCTGATTTTGATCGACTTTTTTATTTTTTTTTGCACAAGTTTATCGCGTTGATTCTTGTTGTGATAGAAGTTATTCAATCGAGCTTATTCCACGTCATCTATCTCTACAAGTGCTCTCTGTTATATACGTTATTATAGTGAATCTTGATTGAATATTAATCACTTCTACAAATTTTATAAATGAAACATTATATTTTTTTCGAATCCCAATATTAGCCTTCATAATTTTTAACATATTTTTTTGTCATTAATGTCCTTTTTCTTTTTTGTAGCATACTCAAGTTGGATTTTTTATTTCTTTTATTATTTTTTTTTTTAAACTTGATTAACACAGAAAATTCGAATTTGATTCTAAATAAAATTTTATTAAAACGATATTTATTATTTACAATGTATATATATGTATATATATATA